AACACGTAATAAATTTAATGTGTGACAAACAGCGACACAGATCCCTGGCTGCGCCATCGATCAAAGGTGATAAGATGAATGTTACCGATGCTTGAGCTTACACATATACTTATAGGAGAGTTATTTACTGGTATAGAAAGTTCCAAGGCTGTCTCAGTCGGAAGGAAACATTCAACAAATTCCTAACTGCGGTGCAATGATTATCTCCAAGAAACGAGTGTTTGCATCAATCTAGTCAGATGAATTCTAGTGATCAATCGTCACAATCACAACCAACTGCTCATCAGGAAGATCGATATAATAACGCATATAAGGATTGGATATGTAGCAGGATTCGAGAAGGGTCTATCAAGTGTTATTCGGAAAATAATATTGCTGTACGATTTATGCCAGTCGCTCGTGGTGCATTCGGGGTCATACATACCGGAATTATGAAGAACGTGTTGCATTGAAAGCTCTGTATACAGAACAGTATAGTTGTGAAGAAGAATTATATAAAGATTTTGTCAAAGAGGTATGTTGTTGAGTTAATGTACTGTAATAAAGGGATTTTTTAGAATTTCAACTATAGAATGCTTAACTTCAAACCGTCATACTTAACTTCAATACCACGAGAAGGTTAACGGTCATCCAAATATCATTCGATTTCTAGGTCTGTATCAAGGTATACTTGATCTTCATATTAATTTCAGTATTACTATACATTAAAGAGTCATGCCTAACATTTCTGAATATTTAAAGATAGTGCAGGCTATTTCATGGTTTCCGAATTTGCTGAGGGTGGGACTCTGCGTAAGCATCTAAAGCGTCACTTTGATAGTTTAACTTGGAAAGATAAGTACAAGTTAGGCTTGGAAATCACCAGCGGTCCAAGTCGCTTGCATGATCTTGATGTTATTCACAGGGATCTGGTAATGCAGGACTCTTTTCTCTCCGCTGACTCATAAACGCGAACTGAAGTAATATCAACACACTAATTTTTTTATCTTTAGTCCTCCGTCAACATCCTCATACTGTATGGCATCGCTAAGATTATAGATTTCGGTTTATCCGCTTTAGCAGAACAAATTATGTCCAGATCAAGAAGTATCGGCGCCGCAGCATACATAGATCCCGTATTATTTAATGACGCGTCATACGCATGTGGGAAAAAGTCGGATATTTTCAGTCTTGGGGTATTGCTCTGGGAAATTTCTAGTGGGAGAATTCCGTGTGCAGGATGTACTCATCGGTTTCAAGCCTATCAGTACAGGCAACAAGGTTATCGCGATCCTCCTTTTCCTGGAACACCTGAGCCATATGTTACATTATATTCAGAATGTTGGAGTGAAAGCCCCGATGAACGACCGTTATGTGAAGAAATATATAAGCGCTTAAAATTATTATTTGATAATCAAAGTCCGCACTCATCAGAAGAAATACTGGACGTCCAACCACAGGTTAGTTATAGTATGAGACTTTGAATGCCGTTGAGATATTTTTGGTCTCAACAGTTATATTACCTGTCGTCATTCATTGGTCAACCGTATCCGTCACACTTCGCATACTCCGTTCTTTTCCTAAACATTTTAGCTTGAATAAGATTATCAAACACCTCAAATGAATTCTCACATCTCACTAAATTTTTTTATATCTAGTCCTCCAGCAATATTTTTATACAATCTGGCATAGCAAAGGTTACAGAATTCGGTCTGTCCGATTTACTTATCATGTCTACGTCAAGAGCGGAAGGCACTGCAGCATACAGAGGTCTCTTACCATTTAATGATAGATCATATAAACGGGGAAAAAAGTCAGACATCTTCAGTCTTGGAGTGCTGCTCTGGGAAATTTCTAGTGGCAAACTTCCATGTGAAGGGTGTACTCAAAGTTTTGAAGTTGTTAAATATAGGCAGCAAGGTTACCGTGATCCTCCCTTTCCCTCGACACCTGAAGATTATCTTCGGAATGTTGGAATGAAGATCCTGACAAACGGCCATCATGTGAAAACGTGTATGAACGCTCCATATTGTTATTAGATAATCAAGGATAACATCCACCCGAAAACTATAGGCAGATACAGCAACGTCCGCTGGATACATGCTGTCGAAAAGAGGTCTTACTAGATCGCCCGATATTAAGTTAGATGTTTAAAGGCGAAATAGCAGACTTCATTCATATTGCTAATAGATATACATTTCTACCTCAGTTATATCACCAAGCTTTTTGGGGAAGGATGGAATATAACTTTCAATAGATGATTTTATTGGTAAATAAGCCTATTAGTGACGTTGACGTTTCGATCTTTCTACTGATTTATCTAAGCGCCAAACTATTTTGCGCATGTATTTTCTGTCGCAAATTCTCTTTGTTTTAAAACTTCTCAGCTGTCACCAGGGTTTCTTCCCTACCTTTATAGAAATATTTCACTTGAATTTTCTCCATACCCACTTGCACCGACATCCTTTCGCGTAGGTGTGTTCACCAGCGCCGGGAGGACCAAGCTGTAAGACTGAATTATGCTTTGAGTAACCTATTTAAATAAGTTAGTATGCGCGCTTAATCACCCTATACTCGTATCCAAATAAGGATACAACGATTATTAAACAACAACAATTTAATAATTGTAGATTCGATTTGGTATTTTGACTAGTCAATATTCCCGTCACTAGTTATTATTGCTTTATACGTTTATCAATAGGAAGAATATGAGTCTGGGTTGTGGCGATAGATTGACACTTTCCGCTATTCGCATATTGCGTACCAATATTTTTCTTATAGAAAATCACAGTCCTCTATTTTGGTTTCATTGAGTAAACAGTTTGTTTTTCGAATTTCTTATTTTTTAATTTATGTTAAAAAATATAAATAAAATTTTAATACAAGTGAAGTGTTTTTTTCGTGTCTTATGAATATAAAATTATAGTACTAAACTTATCAGACAATATTTATCTTTCTGCGTTTGATTTTTGGTACTTCTACTCATAGAACTCCTGGAAGGTAGGAAATTCTTTCCTAAAAATTGACCGAGATTTCTATTATATTTATTAAATGGGTGTCCGTAGAAGTCACGTTATAGATCGACGTATTGTAGTACAAGACAAATAAAGCGTACTGGCCATTTAAAGTTAGAGCAATGTAGATTGTCATAAAAATAATGAACTCTTTAACATTAATGTTATGACCCGTTCGATTTGACCCGTTTTGGGATTCTGAAACAGGTCGATTTTGCAGAAATAATACACTTACTGTAGCATACTATTCACAATAATACTAACAATGTTCATTCTAATAACACCTCCGATATTAAATGGACCAAAGAATCGATTGAAATTCGCGGTCAGATAAAGTATAAACACTGAGTGCAAACGTTCGGTATAATTCATATAGGCGAAAACGAAAATTCTATTACTCAAAAAAAGTAAAAACCAGCGTGCGTTAGAGAGGAATATGTATGATGCAATCAGTTCTGTTCATGAAAACTTGCAACACACTGGGTACAGAAAGACACTCGACGAGCTCAAGGAATGAACAGCTACATTCCTAGAAAATTAGTTGTTGCCTATGTCAATGGCATGGTCATCTATACTCGACAATCACGCAATTTATTTCAATTTTAATTGACCAATAATATTGTAAAATGATAAAACTTTTGGTTTTTTCATCACGTGATTGTCGGGTTATAGATATCGTGTTACAGTGATAAAAAAATTTAGGCGTACATTTTGCTTCTCCGCAATAACGTCTATTATTAACGTGTACCGCACCGTGGAATAATGTTCGAGAGGGGGAAGCAAAGGGACTCGGTAATTATAGATGGCAGACATATATAGTTTGGACTCTTGAATGAGTTTGCTAGAGTATATTCACTTCCAACACAAACGATGTCAATCAAAAATAAGAAATTGATCGTTTTATCAAGAAATCGCAAATCTCAGCAATGTATCTCTTCTTACTCAACGAGGATGAAATTTCATCTAGCCTGAGAACAGATGAGGCAGATTATTCCTATTATGATAAGGTAACATCAGTATTGACTGTTTGGCTTATTCTGCTATTTGTGTAATAATCAATCGCGCTAACGATCACTTCGTCGGGCAACTCGTAGTCCTACAACATGACGTTAGGTTGAGCCAACAATGAATTATCTATAAAGAGATCAATAAGACAAAAGCAGCAGTGACAATAACCAGCAGCAGTAACAACAACAACAGCAATAACAATAATTGATCATTGGCATATTGACTATTTACTAGTCCCCAACTGTAACAACCGTATCATCAATTTTTATCTACACTTTCACAACAACAACCAATACAACAACTGCCTTTTATATCAAGAAATTCTGTGCAGCCATACCTTGTGATGCGCTTACTACAATTATCGCAACCAACTGAACATCAGTCTTAATGACGGCAATAATTTTCGCTTACTTTCACCAATCACGAATACAGCATAACTCTAAGGCTGATGATCTCGAATAGGCATACAAATCAAGACGTGGCTGAGTGGAGAATCTGTTGGGAGTAATCGAAACCAGTTCCAATAGGTCAATTTCGCTTCCGTTCGTTCAGTGTGCGAAACTGGGTACGTTAGCATTCTATCAAATTTATACACAATGACATTGATCAAGCGATTTATGGGAGTGGAGAATTTGCTAATAGTGAACACGGCATCATTCTACTCTTTCTCTTCTCCCATTATCGAATAAGTATTAATGGGAAGATTGGGCTAGGTCATAAGGTGTGGGGGGCGGTGTGGTGCAAGGAGTGGTATATAGATGAGATTCATGTAAGGAAGTGGGAATACTGTTTATAGGCTTGGAGAGTACTGTTAGGCTAAGAGGGATGTGAATGAAAAGACGAAGAAATTGGAAGCTACGTCAGTTATATGTACATTGGAAATTACTTTAAGAGCAATGCGCCGAGTGTGTCAAATCCCATCCTACATCTATCGCAATGAGCTTCATATTCCAATGTCTTCATCCATCAGTGCCGCATAGTCTCTGAACGATAGAGTCGATGAAAGCGTTTACCAGTCTTGAAAGCAGAATAGAAGGAAACAGCGCAGAAGAGGATGGAAAGAAAAGTGACGGGCTTGAGAAGCTTGAGAGAGTGGAACCAGAAATATACTATTCGAGGCCTCTGCCGCAAGAAGGGTTATTGATTTTCTTCTATGGTATTGGAAATATCGTTGTGGAGGCAACGCCAAACAGTGCTTGTTGCCTTAATGGCACAAGTTAGGGCTGAGAACATAATAATCTACTCAGTATTGACATTGCATACCTTACTTGTCTTCGCCATGCACAAGTCATATACTCATTCACTGAAAGACGAAACGATTAGATACAGTTTCGTGGTAGCAGTTTTGATGTCGAAGGGAGAAAAATGATATGGTATTGAAATCGCATAACTCGTTTGTCTTTACTTGTATGTATATACAATTATAATACATATTAATATAAATCATGAAATTATCTTCAGATTATATCCAATTACCAGGCCGCCTGCGTCATGTCGTGGAAAGAGTGTGACACATCGTGATGAGACTCTTTGGCCTCCTCCGCTGATCAAGTTGATATCCTCAACAAACATAGGAAGATTGGCTCAATTTGGACCCTTGTATGGAATAGTTCGTTTTCGACTCAGATTTCGTAGTTCTTATGAACATCAGAGAGAGACTCACTGTATGTAATCAAGCGTGAGCAAATCGCAATAGTACGAATAAAGTAACAGTCGATTCATCGGCGATGAAATTGAAACAAGAATACGCTTCGACTACAATAGTAACGTACGCAGACAAAATCGATCGATCCAAATTACGAAATGTGCGTGACGTGTAAAGATTCGAATTGATCGTCTATTAAATGATTCCTCAACTAAAATATAGTAGTCAAAATACATTGAAGTTAAAGTTTATTCAGAAACCTTTTTCCGTATACCATCAATTATTTTATATGAGTGCGCAGAAGAAACTAGGTCAAAGTGTACAATGTATTATTCAAGACAGTTGGATATACCGGTCACGTGGAAATTTATAAGAGCTGATTTGATGATTACCAAAACGGGTTAGCTAATCTCAAGGTATACTTTGCGAGTACTTTTAATGCAAAAATAAAAAGTACATGATTAGTTATGAAGGTCGATAATTAATAAGTATCATCTCATGCATAAACTGGTGAAATATCGACAGACATCATTTTATGGCGTATTGTGCGAATGCCCAATATTGCAGTCCCTTTCAAGATTGTGCACATTCAAAAATTTGGACCTTGGAAAAACTGCATTCTTATGCAAGTATGTAATCAATAACTTGACAGAACGACAATGCTAACCATACGGCAATATGGAAAGAGGATAATGCACGTTTCTTTCTCTCAAATACCTGCTGATTTTAATTACATTGAAATTAGGTAAATGGGCTGATATACGTATGCCAACCCTTCAAAACAGAGAGATGGTCTGACCAATTACTTCAATCCTGCATGCAGCTCGCTGCGATGGTTACAACGCTGTCAGCCAGACATAATTGCGCGCAACATTCTTCTTGCTCGGCGAGGACAATGACAATTTTTAGCTAATCTCCAAGGCTATTCGCTGGCTGTCAAGATGTTTGAGTTTCCTAGTACAAAAGAAAAATGTATGAGAAGGTCTATAGCGTTATTTTTGCAGAATAACGTAAACTTTGTTTTACTGTAATATTTATAATAGCAAATTAAAGTTAGTCGTACGTCGATCAACAAGACCGTTTAGGTAACCAAAAAAGATGCCCCATTGCAAACGCCCATTGATAAAGTTTCTTTTTTTGGATAGATGCATGGGCAGTATGCTAAACATCGTTTAAAGGGGTTGATGCTTGCATTGTCTAACAAGGCATAAGAATCTGTATTATTCTTTCCGCGCAATCTTATTTCGAACTTTCTAAATATGTTGCATTAAAAGAAATCGTTCTAACCTTATTCCGCCAAGCACATTCAACAATCTTGCATTATTACATAACAAGATATGTCTGTTCTAATAACTTCAAATTTGATACCAGAACTATAATTCTCTTTCACATGTGCATATAAATACATTTTCTCACGATCCTTGTTCCATAGGCTTAGCAACTTGTGTGACTCTCCTTATCGCCCTGCAAGTGAATTTTAAAGAATATCATGAAACATATCTTGCAAGATTTCTGCAGAATTGCAATGGAGCCTTTGAAACTAGTATTGTAAATGTATAAATACCAATCCACGGGGTATCTCATGCCTGTATAAGCGCTTTGATTCTGCGACAGTCGATGAGATAAATGTCCGTAACAATCGGTTTCACTGCTTCTAATTACAGACCATTCGGTTCGGGACCTGCTAATATGTCAGAAAGGACCCACATCAATGAAAAGTAAAAGAGGTAAGTGTACTGTTGACCCCTTGCCAAAGCCATAATGAAGCGGATCATATATACTCCGGTTTTAAACAGGTATTGTGTCGAGATGCATGCCCCGAGTCATATACCCACTTATCATTATAATCAATGCCAACGTGGTAACACTCACACATTTTTGCTCTTACAAAGAATTGCATCAGATAGTCTTTCTAGGATGTTGATAACAAGTGACTGAAACATAATATATTTGATGTTAGTGTTAAAGCAACTAGATAATAAATTGATATAAAAAACCATTAGATGCATGCTTGCCTATCTCACATTAATCTTTATGCTTAGCCTTCAAGAATCAAATAACTCATGATTTTGTAATTACCTCAAAAAGAATTAGCAATCCGTGATCACAATCGATTACATGTATAAGACATAGTATCAACGAAATTCCAATTATTCAACCACTATTCTTTGACAGGATTTAATCGATAGGAATATAAAAAATCGCCCGAGTTTACGTATAATCCTACACAAGCAAAGTATAATTGTTATATAAATTATTATAGTAATATGCAATTAAATTCAAAAAGTATGTTAACAAGGAACCTAACGCCTATTGTCTGTCTTCTCCTTGCACAAAAACCCAATCTACTTTTGGCTAACTCTTAATTTTTATTAGTATTTGTACTCTTGTCGCAATACAAATAGTAAGTAGCTATTAAAATTATTTTAGTATTTGTTTATACCTGTGCTATATAATTGATGCGTAAAAATACTAGCTAGTCTTGTATTAGAAGTCTTACCTTGATGACTAAGTAGTTTATTTCTCTCCCACAAGTACTTTTGGTAAATTTTTATAGACAACCGGTTATTGTTAAGCAACAATATTAATAAACCACAACCAATGTATATTGACACTTTTTTACCATTGCGCACCGGGTGCCAGGCAGGACCATCACGTCATAAATATCCAATACATGCAAAGAGATACTCGCAAGCGTCTAGTGTGCGTAAAGTTGTCAGATGCAGCATAGTCGTCCCTTGTTTCGGGCAAGTAGTGAGACGTGAGCAAAGCATACAACCTGGGAGACGAGCCCCAAAACAAAAAATTAAAAAAAATTTTGCTGCTCGCTATGTGTATGTGGCGTCAAACGTAAAGACCAGGACCATTTTATACTCAACGCCAACGTCACAAGATAATAACCATATATGGAATATACATGTAACATGCATCAATAAACCCCGTTTATTCGCTAAAATATAAAGCACGACATCGGTGTGTTTATGGAATAGACCGACCGAAACTCTGGCCTTTTTGTTTGCTTGCCATCTTAAACGAAAGATAGTAAATGTCGCAGCTTCGAGTATTTGTTTCCGGCACATATTACTCAGTGGTATGTAAATGTATGAACAAAACGCGCGCAAAAGTCGTTGTTTTCTTTCCTTTTTCTTTTGTTTAGTCTATTTTTTTTTCTTCATTTTTTTTTCTTTATTTTTTCTCCTTTCTAAACATATTCAACGCCTGCACGCAGGCAAGAGTAATTGTGCAAGAATTATATAAACGTTTTGGAAACACTGTAGCCGAAGTGCGACTTGGATTCGATAAGGAGCAACCGACGCCGTTCTGGTCGTCTCGAGTCAGTATAATATGTTCAATAGACTCGGAAAACAAAGACACCATAAGGGAAGCTTTGAAAAACGTGAACGCAGCGTTTTTATGGAAGGCTCCGGGTGATCCAGAAGATTTATTGAAGAGTTTTGTCGATGTAGCAGAAGAAAATGGCGTTCAAAACCTCGTTATTCTCTCTACATATCATTCATACTTGGCTTCTGGCCAAGAGATTGAGACATATGTATCTTCAAAATCTATCCCTCGATATACTTTTCTCCATGTACCGTTTTTTACTCACCACTTTGACATTTATAAAAATACCATTATCAAAGAGAAGACTTTATCTTTACCTATTGGCACTGAAGCCAGCTTTGCACCGCTAGATGACCGGGATTTTGCGGAAGTCGTCGTTACGCTCTTGTTATCACCAGACGACAATTTACACAATCAAACTACTTATACTCTAACAGGGCCAAAACTATATACGGGCCCTGAGTTGGCCGAGAGATTATCCGTAATCATGAACGACCATGTGAAATTTTTTGGAACGTCACTAAACGAGGCCGAGCAACAATTGAGTAAACTTCTTCCGCAGGCCAACGAGCGAGTAAAACAACAGCATTTGGAATTATATCGAGCGATAAAGAGCGGCGAATGTGAAGTGAAGACTGAAGATGTAAAGAAGATATTGGGTGACAAGAAGGCACCGCGAGACATTGAGATATATTTTGGTGACATAATAGTGAGAATAACGAGAGGATATTAGTAGCCTCGCGCGCCTGTGCGCATGGGGCAGTGTGGTTGTGGTGTTAAATACGATTGGTTGTGCGGTAACAAACAATGGTTGTATGGACTATGGTGAGTTATTGTAAATCAGCAAATGTTTTGCTTCAGCTGATAAGCTACATAATTCATAAAAAGTTGTTCTCACAACGACGACATGCTTATTCGTTGGGCAGCAACTTATTTTGGTGTACATAAAATTGTTCATATTAAAATAGTCCATTTTCGACAATTTATGCATTTTATTTAAGTAACTAAACTTCAAGGTTTCTTTTTGGGAGAATCTACGCAACTTTGCTTAGTTATAAGGATAACAACTCAACAAGAGATTTAGACATTTCATTCTCCTAAGTTTAAATAATACAACTTTAATACTGTTCCGAGTATGGATGCTTACGCGTTTTAAGTATGTACATACTCTTATCATGCATTGTAATATGTTACCATGGCAAGCTTTGTTTAAAATTTTTCATTATTCAAGAATTTACAGTGTGTTATGTAATTTGTTTAATATTACGCTACAATTTATTGAAAATGCCCAACAAAGGTTATAATAACGTTTGTATAAGTCGTTCATTTAAAATCAGAATAGCTAATACTCAAAGCACGCCGGTTATACTGTAACGCAACCTGATGAGTTCTATAGACTATTGCCGCCACTTTGCCCCGTCCTCATCTGACTTATCTTGTACAAGTAATTAGTACCGTTATATGCCAATTGACCAAGATACAGGCAGTCTCCGATATCTGTTGGAAGTTAATATCTAAAAGAGAGAGTAAATCAGAGTTATTAACAAATACGTTTAAAAAGGGTTATTACAATTAAACATAAACAATTTATCTAGCGCAACATTAAAAATTGTCTCAATGTCCCAAAACTACAATAAAAAATATTCAGCAAAATATGATAACGAAATGTATGCAAAAAAAATAAGAAGGACATTCCAATTACAAGTCTGTTGCTATATTGCGTAATAGATTCCTATCTATTCACCACACATTTTCACTGTAATTTGATTGCCGTTTCTATCAAAATGTGTTTCTATTTACTTAACAAGATTCAAACAAGTAGTTGGTTAAATAAGAAAGATTACTAACCCCGTGTGTAATGGTGTAAAGAATAAGATTGTTTACCCAGAGATGCAACAGCAGGTTTTACTATTGTTCGAAATAGAAAAGTTTTTTTTGGTATAGAATTAGAATGCCGATAAGAACAATTAAACTCAAGTATGAATATGTCAATGCACAATACATACGTATTTACATTACAGCCAAACATTTGTTCATCGCAACTGCATATTTGTCTACTATCCGTACAGTGGCTTAACACAGATTAAGATTATCGATTGCGACGGAACATGCATGTGAATATATCGTGTCCAAGGTCGTCCCCATATTGTAATCGTACGATTCTCAAATAGACAGACCATTTCCTATTAGATAAAAATATGCTTGGTTACTAATCGTAGATTTTGATAGTGTTTCAGATATATGCAATGAGATGGAAGAACAAATTCTATTGGAAAGTTTAATAAGTTGGTTAAAGTCGACTTTGTTATTAGAGTAACTAACAACTGGGGCAAATTGCATGATAAACAAAATTCAGTTGTTTTAAAGTTAATAGATTATAATATACCTAATATATGACTGTTTGGTTCCAAATAAGCTTACGTCAAATAAACTTGACACTTTCAATATAACACACGAAATGATAATAATCAGCTAGGTGCAGTCTTGCTAATCCTAAAAGGGAGAATTACGTGTGTTTAATAGAATGCTGTCTAATTATATCAACAAGCCTTTCCATTATATGTAAAGTGGATACGGACCCTGCAAACTGCGATTAGTTCGCTCGCCAAGAAATTCCCCTAATATGGTCATAATCATATGGCAACCAATTGCGTAGGATAACTCAGGGAACACCCCTGCAGGATCAGCATTCGCTTAACCTTTTATTGCATACATTACGAGAAAAAGCACATCAAATAACCACCTTGCAAGAATTGTACCAATGCATGCATTGGATTATCTATCAATTTAATTCAAACCACATATTAGTTTACGCAACGCATAATAGGAATTGGCTAGAATTGCCAAATATAATAAAATGTAATGCCTTACCGTCGTATGTTCAAGAAAATTATAATGCTCTTCGCAATTTTCGACCGGACACGGGTGCCATAACTCAACAAGACGTATACTACTGTCGCTTTTAGGGCCAAAGTCTGTAACTATAACAATTGTGGTTAATAAGATAGCTCTTTAACGAAATTAGGCTAATAGGCTGTTTTTTCAAAAACAATCTTTAAAGATTTACCTGTTTGTCTAGGAGATTAAAGACAACTCAATTAACAAGTGCCATCCAAATTTTTAAGACATTGATAAAAAATTGGCAACAGTCTATGTAATAAACGCAAAATCTTAGTAAACGTATTTCAGTAACTCAAACTGGTCATTTCTTTTTGCGTGCATACCTGAATGTAGACATGGCAATCTATCTGCCAACGATAAACAATAAATTTGTAATGTCAGTTAGTATTTAGTACATACAGGACTTTGCGGTAACTACTTTTGTTCATTATTATCTATAAACCTCCTCCTCCCAGCATTATCTCAGTATGGTTAACCGATTGTTAGCGAATGACTACACTTACGCGCGCGCACAATTTAATCTTCTAAAATACTTTTGCTTTCTCAATTTGAGCTTGACGTACCCAATATACCGTCTCCTCCACCAAACAATATTGCTTATAGATTACAGATCAATGTTAGATCAGAGAGTATACTCACCAAACCGACGTTTATAGTACAAGAAAGCCTTTGATATTGAGCAGAAGCTCAGCTTTAAACCAATCTCTCAATAGTAGCGTTGATTAATTCTAGTAAACATATAGAATAAGCATCACTATTATTTAACTGTTTAATCAGGTCGTTATTTACCTCTTGCTTTTGGAGCTTGGTTCGTATATGTACACAGTTGTCTAAGGTTTCCGCTGCGTTGTTTAGATGAATTCTTGTTGTAAATTATGAACCGTAAGTCAACTCAGTATTGTTTGATTTGCCATAATGCCACCAAAATCTGATAAACAAGGTTATCACAAGATTAGTAATTATCTTTACGTTATGTTCTATAATATAACAGATCGTAGCGAAACTTGCTCTTAAACCATGCCATTACCTTTACAACTGTCGTTGATCAGTAACTTCATTGGAATTGCAAAAATTTTATGATACAATAATAGAATATGGTAAGGGGTGTGCAGCACAGATGATCATGTGGTAGTAACAATCTAAATTGAACAGCTGAAACATTATGCTTAGAATGTTAAAATTTGCATATTGTTTGTACTAGAAGTACATGCAGGTTAATAAACACTATAATAATAGATATTTAATAAATATGTTTCTTATTCTTTACCAAATATAAATGACGATCGATCCTTTGTCGACAGATTAATAACGCTTGAATAAATATGGAAAGGTCTGTACTTAATATTTACCAATTGTTAATAAAAATGTGTGTTGCACATACTCGTGTACATGCAAATTTTGTCTGAAAAAATTTTAATGTCGGACCTCAAAAAAGAAACAGTCATGTGGGAACGTTCTCATGCAAAAAAATAAAAAATTTTATAATAATGTATTTGAATATGTGTAATCCCGATTTTGTAAGGACAGGTCAGGGGAACAAATCATGGGAACCCAATAATCGACATCTCGCAATTGATCATTCCCCTATTTGGAAAATAGCATTCACAATCATATCAGTAACAAGATCAGCACTTTAAAGTTTGAAACTGTAAACTGTGAGCGCATGTTACACTCATACGTCAACTTGCAAGTGATATCAAAGAAACTTGTTTCATAGGTTCGGCTGTAGACAAAGCTGTTTACTTGTCTATCATTAGTCTAATAGACGGACAAATTTAGCAAACTTGTCTTAACGATTACAAGGTTTATTAATAATATTCGTTGAATAGTTTGCTCGCCAATTCATAGCATGTAAGTCCCGGTAAGTGGCGCAATGCATGTTGGAGGCTGATTCAGGGGCAGTGTCATAGTCTTAGAAGCAGGTATTTTTACATACACAGTGCATGGGGATATGTCGTAACATCGTACTCGTAAGATTAGATAATCATTGAGATTACTCCAAGATTTACCAATCGGAATATATTCGTATACTATTCTTTATTATTGTAATCGCTTAGATAATTCGCTGGCGAAACGCCATGTATGCAAACGTAGACAATTTTTCATGTGATTTACTCAACTGATTTGGAACGTTCGACATGACTATCTTTTCTTTTGTAAACGAAAAGCAGTTTATGTAATGTTATGTTAAAATTGTTGGCATATAATTTTGGTAATTGTAATACTATCAGAGGTATGCATTTAGCAATTGGTAAACTTTAACAATCTGGATCTTACTAAAAAAAATTATTTACCTAAAAAATATCCCTATTGTCTGTTTATTAGCATGCAAATAGTAAGAAAAGCGCAAAGTACAAATTTTAAACTCTTAAATTATACGGTAGATTGATACATAAATAATGAATTTATGGAAGTACGTTCAGCCTCAAAGTGGATAAGCGGGGGGGGGTATGGAGTGGGTATTCACGTGACATGTTATATTCAATATGTTCTTTTCAATCTTTTGGTAAATCTAACAAGGAATATAATATTATTTGCAGTTGCATTATTTAAATTACTCAATAATATACTGAATGGCATATGTAATAATGGATTTCTCTCATTATCCCCATCCTTTTGAATCCCTTTCTCTATTAAAACCGTCTGATATAACTCATCAATTGTCTCATGCATATTCTTTTGTGGTTTTCCATTTAAAGTAACATGAATAAATAGATTTAGTGGTTCGTGCAACTATAGGGATAGTTATGTTATCACATCTGTTGGTATGTTTGAGATGAATTAGAAACATTTGTTCGTTTGTTTTAATAAAATGTGATATAACCGGATATAATTTTATTATATGTGTATAAATTATTATATGTATTTTGGATTTCACATGCCAGAAATGGTTAAACTGTCAATTTATAAACATGATGTATATGTATCGTGGACATTTTGAGCGCGTACAGAAAATGCACTTGAGTTGACAGTTTATAATATAGTTATTTACTAAATTTATCCAACTACCGTATGTTTTATTTGCCATAAAATAGATTTATAAAAAGTACATTTTGGTTTAATACAATACAATACTATTTTAGATACTATTACACGAACATTGTTAACTGGAAAGTTTTACATCATATGCATTTTCCGGAATAACAATAAACATGTACTGTGTATACTTACTTTTGTTGACTATCTTTAAATATTCATGACTAATTAATAAGGAAATCATGCATTAGTGTAATATGTGCATTGGCAGTGAGAGATAATAAATAGACTGGTGGATAACTGAAGTATAGCAATGTTGTACCTCAGTTCGGGACCATCTCAGTCCGGAACTCAGTGTCTCAGTCCAGAACTCAGAATTTCCGTTGTCTCAATCCAGAACTGAGACAAGTCCTCAACTGAGGTACAACATATACATACTATAAAACATAACCTTTGAGAAAATGTGTAATACGGGTAACTGTAACTGAATAAAGACTACAATTAACAATAACAATAAAGACATACACACATGTATAACATATATTTGTATGTATGAGTACTGGATTTGAGTTGACTAGGTGTTATTATACTTATTCTATACTCTGGATTAAGAGTAATATTTCAAAAATATTGCTTGCATATCGATTAAAAAAGTTATACCAAATGTTCATGCAATTAAACAAGAATGGGATGCCTAACTTTTTATTTCTTACCAACTTATTATCTGATAATCTAATTGCTACTGGTTATTATCTTATAATATGACTACACTCTCTTTGATATTACGTTTGTCGAGTCAATACAATACATCATTCTTTTAGATATTTAATCATCCTACTGTTGACTACCGCATGTTGCATGTAATTAGTAAGCACTAGTTATTTCATTACAAGTCATACTCTCTCGAATACGTCAGATTGCTACGTTTATTATTCTTACAAATGATTGCCTTTGCTTACCGCAATTTTCACAAATACTTTCTTGGTTTGTCAAAGCACTATCGTTAAACACATCAGTTCACGTTCTTTTGTCTTGCTCCTCTTTTCTTGCTACTACTGCATTCCCCCTGAATCCGTACACAACCTTCCCTCTTCTTTTCAACGATAACGATACCTCACTCAAAGTCGCTACTTTCTTTTCTTGATGCTCACAGTACATAATAACATCTTTTAACACATCTGTCAGAAATGCTTTCAACGCTTGACGAACTTCTTCATACGAATCATTAGACATACGCTTTACGCCTCCTCGGCGCGCTAGGCGTCGAATTGCTGTCTGGCTTATGCCTTTTATGTTTTCACGAAGTATTTTCTAATGAAATAATAAAATAAAAGATACTGGTTTGTAATGTGCGACATGTGTTGTAAAGTATTATTCATGACTTACTCTAAAGTACTCAATTAATGACACACGTATTCATCACTTGAACCATCATTATTTCTATCGCCTATCCCACTCACTTATTCGACAAAACAGCAGGACGTACCCTATGCCTCTTCGGCGTCAACAACACGTTCTTCCCAAGTCCTCTCCCTACGGAAGCTTGCAGCTTGCTCTTCGTTCTTGTCATTTCTACTCTTGCACAAAAAGCTCCAAAATCCCACGAGTATCGTGTATATTGACGAAGCCGTATAGTGTACACCAACGTCGGTGTTGATATAAGAGCTAAACGAAGATGCACAAGTCTGAAATATACATATACATATATACGGTATCATATATGTAAAACAGTTGTGAGGTTGAGCGAGGGAAGATACAGCGAACTTTTGAAGTATATTTGAAGTATATGACTGTGGTTACACAATTAAATCACTCCTCGTGTAACATACATAAGTCAGATTTTTGATGTCACAAGCCTGAAATTTTATTGGTCCGATTATTAATGGCAACGTCTCTATGTTGCCTGGCTATTATCTTCGAAGAAAATTCAATATCAGTGTCAATTAATTCAAGCTACCGTTAATTCAAGCTACCGCTTAAATGAAAAATCAGTAAATGTATAACTGCATGGTAATACTTAAAGCCAAGTTCTCTGACATAATATTTTTCAACTAGAAAAGCAGATGCACGCATTTGAAAATTTGGAAACTGTCATAAATGAGTGAAATACTGAAGAAAAAAAATAGTAATAGTTTAAACGAAAACAGCCTCTATAAAATCTTGCAAGGTTATAAATATTTGTCAAAGAATTACAAGAGCTAATATGACGTTATTGTAAACCAAAACTTTTGTACACCACACCACCAATCGTGACTACCAAATTTTTACCCTGTGAATTTTGCAGTCTACAATATAAGTGTTACTACAACTGATCTTTGTTGAAATATATTCGATGCCAGCATGATGAAGGATTAATTCCAGGTAATTATTCATACCACTTGAATGTTGCTGTACGTGTTACATCCTCAAATTCAGTGTATTTGCAAATGGAAAGGACAAACATATAAACTTTTTTACTCAGAAAGTGCAAATAGTTGCCTGTCACTGAATTATGAGGCATGACATGTTTTATTATTAGATTACACTGTTTATCTGTTGCTGTTCGATCCGTATTCTACTTCTTTTTTTTGCATTTGCTACGTTTATTATTATTACCATTATTATTATTAGATCCAATATCCTCCTTGCGTTTCGCACTTATCGAGTTATTAACAAGATGAGCTTACAATTGTAGTGTAGCATGATAACGGGGTAACTTTTTTATTTAAGTCGTTAATGTAGAATTATAATTTAATTTTTCACTTTGCGTTACTTTTATTTTTCTATTGGTGTCTTTCGTTGATGAACACCGTCAGCGCGCAAACGATTTGTTTAGACAAACGCGATTGATTAATCAAACAATTGAAGAAGTGGAAATAGTATAGTTCGTCTACGATTTTCTGAATAGTTGGCGCATATAATGGACCCCATTGCTATTACAAGATAGCACGGTTGTTACAATAAAATTTACTGTGTGTATTGACATAATTGAAAACTAAGATTATCAAGCGTCGTTGGCTGTAGCCATTCAATTATTAGGAGAAATTGATATATAAATGTGTAGAATAAGTGTTCAGCGTTGTGATTGATTTGCCAAAATTTTACCATAGATAACCTTCGATTAAATACGATGTGTAACGAAAAAATGGTGGAGACAAAAAATTGTATATCTCGACAAGCACAAAAGAGAATTAGACAAAATTTTGTCCACTTAAACTTTTTTACATACTTTATCAACCAAATAAATTTATAAAGTTCGATTTCCATTATTTTCTATAACTAGTTCGCATTTATTTTCATTAAACGTATTAAATTTTTCACTGTTTGGTCTGAAATGTTCTTCCATTCTTCAACCATATATTGTCTTAATTCACCAATGTCTTGTGGCATACGTTTTTCTACGTTATTTTTTACAATTTGCCACACATTTTCGATAGGATTTAGGTCTGAACTGTTGGACGGCCAGTCCATGACTTTAATTTTATTTTCCTTGTAAAATTCCGTAGTAATACGTGAAGTGTTTTGAGGATCATTATCTTGTTGCAACTCCCAGCGGTTTCCATACAACTCTTTTGCACTTGGAATAAATTGGGTCTTTAAACTGTTTACAAAAAAAGGCCCAACCATAAGTCTGTGAAACAAAACAAAGATGTCTCATCTGTAAATATTGTTTTGTTGCAGTTCTTGTTTAAATGAGCTTGTGCCCACGCTTTTCGTGCCTCATATGATGATTGGTTAACATTGGAGTTGCAAGAGGCAGAGAACTATGGTATCCCCTTTTTTTCATATGCCATCAGACAGACATATGCGAGATTGATATGTTGTGCTCATGTTTAGCTAATAGAGCAAGGTGTCATGTCATGAATTTCGAAAAATATGTTGGCCCAAGGAACGGTAAAAGTTTGTGTAACCTTCGATGGCCTGCCACTACCACGCTTACATTAAATGCCTGAGTTTTTGGATATTCCACTCAACAGTACGAAGAGGAATGCGAGTTTTTGGTGTATTTTCTTTGCTGAAATGGCACAATTTTGCCACAAAAGAGACATAGTTTGACACTGAGCTTCAAGTCTTGTGCCAACCAAGTTGTTGCAAGGTTTTAAACATGAAACAGAAAAAGAGAGTGAAAGCTTATGGTTTATATATTTAACAAATTGTAAACAAGTATATTAACAAATGGTGTTTATTTAATTGATATATGGGTTTGTTATCAGAGCTCTGCTATGTTTTTATTTATTAACTTTACTATAGGCCAGCAACCAGGAGGTTATTAACTTTGTTATAACCAGTTTTATTGCATATCACAAACTCTAGCATTTGGGATGCATTGGACAAGGCATATACTTAAACATGTCAATTTCTGTTTATCAACATAAGTATTGAAACAGCAGGCATTTGTTGCTCAGTTTGAAGCATGGACAAATGATTTTGTTTATGGGGTTTTATTTTTATTGCTGATAATAATTATTATTTTATGTCATACACTAAATTACCCAAAAATTGCACAGATCATTCAATAATTTGTTTGAACATCTTAGCAGTTATCATATGTCATTACAGCTAATTATAATAGAACAGACATTATTGTTGAAATTAAAACATTCTTATAATATGCTGTCATTGTATACTTTAATTCTTACAATATTTAGGTTATTGTAATTAAATCCTGTATGGTTAGATACATACATCATATATAATTTCAATCAGTTCAATAAATTCTCCATACCCAAATATGCTGTTAAGGTATTTGTGATACTAGAAGACTCAGTGACAAGTTATTGTTAACATTATAATTACTAGTATTGTTAATTTTATTTTTTTCTCTCCAAGACCACTTTTCCAATAACTTATTCCATTTATTTGAATCTTTACCATTATTCAAATTTTCCAGGTAAGTTTGGTTGATCATATGTTCCTTCAGAAACAATTCCAGAGTGTCTAGTCATCACTCCAATGCATGATACAAATCATTTGGCACTGATAAGTCCAGTGATGATGGCCTGACCAAAGATCTGGGAGATTGCAGTAACATTATTATTGCTCTTGCATCTCCAATTAATTTTCACTCAACTTCAAAGAAGCTAGAGGTGAATTTGATTCTAGAGCCCTTGCCAATGCTGTTGCTCCTGCATCTCAATCTGATTTCCCCAAACAGTCAAAGAAGTCAGAGATGAATTTGATTCTAGAGCCTTTGCCAATGCTGTTGCTCCTGCATCTCCAATCTGATTTTCTGCCAAATCCAAAGAAGTCAGAGATAAATTTGCTTCTAGAGCCTTTGCCAATGCTGTTGCTCCTGCATCTCCAATCTGATTATACTGAAGATTCAAAGAAGTCAGAGATGAATTTGATTCTAGAGCCTTTGCCAATGCTGTTGCTCCTGCATCTCCAATCTGAT